GAGGCACAACTGCGGAGTGGATTCAGTGGGGACAGTGACCCCCAGTGGCCACTGAGAATTTGCACACAAAAGCAAGTGTGTTACTTCCATACACAACAAGGGAAGTGGGATCTGGCTCAACTTCCAGCCGAGTTGATTCCGTTTCTCGTTTCTACGTGGATGACCCCCCCGCTGCATTTTCTCTTACCCCTCTCCCCTACCAAAGCAATCCAAGGCCAAAGTTTTCTAGCAGTAAAGAGAGTTGTTCTGGTGAAGAAACAGGCACAGATCCATGAAGGAATTTGTCCGAGGTCTGTCTGCCTCCTACACACACACCCCCAAGGCTCAACTGTGACCAAAGAACCAGGGAAGCCGCAGGGGGCCTGGGAGACCCCAGGCTGGGGAAGAAGGGGCTGAAGCAGTTCACCCTCCTCCTCCTTCCTCTCCCCACTGGATGTTTCCAGAGCCAAGGACTCGGGACCTATGTTGATTAAGTGAACACTGACGACTATTTAGGTAAGGAGGGCCAAGGACATCATTACACAGACGTGAGTGCTTTCAGTAAATTTAAAAAAAAAAAAAAAAAAGGCTCTTTTCCCTCCCTGGCTGTCTGAGGATAGGCCGCCATCATGAACGACACATAACCATCCGCACTAGAAAGTTCATGACCAATCAACTATTCCAGAGGCAACAGATGGTCATTGATGTCCTTCCCCCAGGAAGGCAACAGTGCCTAAGACAGAAATTCAGGAAAAACTAGCCAGAATGTACACGCCCACACCAGACGTCATCTTCGTATTTGGATTCAGAACTCATTCTGTTGGTCTTGCAAAGCAACTGGCCTTGGCATGATCGATGATTCCCTGGATTTTGCAAAGACAAAGGAATGCAAACGTAGCCCTGCAAGACACGCCTGTGTGAGAAGCAAAAGACCTCAGAGAGCAATGAAAGGAACGCAGGGACAGAACGAAGAGAGCCGGGGGACTCAAAGGCCAGTGCTGGCGCTGGCAAAAGTGGGCTAGAGGCTGGATCGCAGCCGAAGGAGTAAAGGTGCTGCCATGGTGCCATCTGTGGCTGCTGTGGGTTTTTCACAAGAAGCTTAATAAACTAAAAACTTTCCAAAAAACGGAGTCAACGAGGACCCCAGGAGACGCTCTCCCCTGCCACAAGGCACATCCTCCTGCCTCTCCCTGATAGAGGGCCCTGGCCCTGCGGACACCCGCCGAGGATGGCTGGGCCCGGTTATCCACGATGACCAGAGGCGGCACGGCGTGCCCCCGCCCACCACACATGCCTCTGCATGGAAGGGAGACTTCACCCTCTCCAGCTTTCTTCCTTCCGACACCTGACACAATCCCAGACTATCGTCACAATCCCAGATTCCAGGGAACGCAGGCCAAGTTCTCCGAAGCAGTCTCCCCAAGCCGGAGCCTGATTTTCTTCTAGGCACCCACGGCAGCAGGAACTGATATTCAACAGGGGCATTGCTGGATACATCTGGAAACACTGCTCAACACACACACAAAGGCCCTTCCAAGTGCAGATCCAGAGCAGGGAGAGCTTAAACACAGCAGCCACCGTGAGCCCGAACCCTGCCCGACCTGCAGGCTGGGCTCCCTTTGCAAAGCCTTTTCCAATAAACTGCCCAGATGGTCACACGCAGTTTTAGACTATGACGCTGAGGTGACTTCACTTGGTCTTTTATTGCCAATTTTGATCTATATTTAAGGATGATGGCTAACAGGCAGGCTGTCATTTCAATAAATGCGCACTTCAGGCTGACTCCCATGGTCATTGCACAAGGAACCGATCTCTTAAACCTACTATTTTTTGTTTGTTTTTGAGATGGAGTCACTCTGTCGCCCAGGCTGGAGTGCAGTGGCGACATCTCAGCTCACTACAACCTCTGTCTCCCCAGTTCAAGCAATTCTCGTGCCTGAGCCTCCTGAGTAGCTGGGATTACAAGTGCACACCACCAATGGCCTAGCTAATTTTTGTATTTTTAGTAGACACAGGGGTCCAATATGTTGGCCAGGCTGGTCTCAAACTCCTGACCTCAAGTGATCTGCCTTCCTCAGCCTCCCAAAGTGCAAGGACTACAGTGTGAGCCACTGCACCTAGGAAGCAGGCTGCTCACTGATGACAGGGGACCCACGGTCATTCATCTGTCTGCACAGGATCAACGACTGCACACTACACCTCACGCCAGCCACGTGACTCTGAAAGCTGTCTCTTCTCAGAAGAGCTGACGGTACCTCCTGTATTCTGTCCTTCAGTCCAGAGGCCGCAGTAAAGGAGGATGTCAATCAGTGACGGGGCAGGGATCATCAAGAAAATGCTTTCACTGGAAATGTATTTAACCAGAACAGACTGCATCCAGGAAAAGTGTTTTCTCTTAGTGTTCTCAATCTCGGCTGTGTGTCAGAATTACTCCAGGAGCTTTAAGAAAGCCTAATGTCCACACTACGTCCCAGGCCCATTAGGCCAGACTCTCTGGAGCAGGAACCAGGTGCTGGCATGTTTGTCAGCTCTTGGGTGATTTCAATATGCAGCTACAGTTGAAAGCCACCCACTGGGCCACATGTGATGGCTCATGCCTGTAGACCCAGCACTTTGGGAGGCTGAGGTGGGTGGTTTGCCTGAGCTCAGGAGTTCGAGACCAGCCTGGGCAACACAGGGAAACCTGTCTCTACTAAAATACAAAAAATTAGTGGGGCGTGGCAGTGTGTGCCTATAGTCCCAGCTACTTGGGAGGCTGAGGCAGAATTGTTTGAACCAGGAGGCAGAGGTTGCAGTGGGGCGAGATCAAGCCACTGCACTCCAGCCTGCGCGACAGGGTGAGACTCCCATCTCCGATAAAAAAAAAAAAAAAAAAAAAAAAAAAAAGCAAGCCACCCATCAAAACAGAAGCCATTTGACCAGGCATGGTGTCTCACACCTATAATCCCAACACTTTGGGAGGCTGAGGAAGGAGGATTACTTGAGCCCTAGTTCTAAAACAGCCTGGGCAACGTGGCAAGAGCTCCATCCCTACAAAGAGGTTTTAAAAAATTAGCCAGGTACAGCTGTGTACACCTGTGGTCTCAGGAGGCTTAGGCAGGAGGACCTCTTACACCCAGGAGGTCAAGGCTACAGTGAGCCATCTTCAGGCCACTGCATGCCAGCCTGGGTGACAGAGCAAGACGACGTCTCCAAAAACACACATATCATTTAACATTTTAATACCTTTTCATCTTGAATGTGAGTCACATGTGCATTACTACAAGTACACGTGTTCACCTTTCCATTCTCCACACGGTAAATTATGTCTAGGTTACCACCTTCCATCTAAAGGGAGGCAGACTCTGGTTTACCAGGCTGTGGATTAAGCAATAAAGTGATGCTTCTTTCCAATTATTTTCTTTGTTGCTGCTGACCTGAGTTAAAAAGGTGCCTCCGGCCAGACACAGTGGCTTGCACCTGTAATCCCAGCACTGTGGGAAGCCGAGGCAAGTGGATCACGAGATCAGGAGATTGAGATCATCCTGGCCAACAAGGTGAAACCCCGTCTCTACTAAAATACAAATGACTAGCTGGGTGTGGTGGCACATGCCTGTAATCCCAGCTACCTGGGAGGCTGAGGCAGGAGAATCGCTTGAACCCAGGAGTTGGACGTTGCAGTGAGCCAAGATCGCGCCTAGCAACAGAGCAAGACTCTGTCTCAAAAAAAAAAAAGTGCCTCAAGTCCTCACTGCAGTTCCCATCGGACTGAACTGCAGGTCCTGAACTCACTGGCCAGCTTCAGACTGTGAAGACAGTCCCGGGTTAGTGCCTTCACTGCAGGACTCATCACATTCCTGTCACATTAGGAAATTCAACTGTGGCAGCAGTTCTGAAGGGGAGGCAGCAGGACTAGCTTCTAAATGAGGCCTCGACCCTCCCACCCACACAGCCAGGAATCTCCTGAGCTAAGAGAAGCTTCCAATGCATGTGACTGTCACCTCCAGCTGACAGCATCACTTCGGACATCAAGCCCGCTCTCATGCTTGCTTCTAATAAAAGGAACACACAAGCAACCCAGCCCAGAGAAACCAAAGACAGACATAAATTGCTAAGTAAAGATACCCTGGTCCGGTGCAGTGGCTCATACCTGTAATCCCAGCACTTTGGGAGGCTAAGGTGAGAGGGTTGCTTGAGTCCAGGAGTTCCTGACCAGCCTGGGCAACATGGCAAAAAACATAAAAGTAGGCCAGGTACAGTAGCTCGCACCTGTAATCCCAGCACTACGGGAGGCTGAAGCAGGCAGATCACGTGATGTCAGGAGTTTGAGACCAGCCTGGCCAACACGGCAAAACTCCATCTCTACTAAAAATACAAAAATTAGCCAGACATGTTAGCACATGCCTATAATATTAGCTACTCGGGAGGCAGAGGCAGGAGAATCATTTGAACCCAGGAGGCAGAGGTTACAGTGAGCTGAGATTGTGCCACTGCACTCCAGCCTGGGCGACAGAGTGAGACTCTATCTCAAAAGAAAAAAAAAAAAAAGGAAAAAAATATGTATATATAGATCGTGTGTGTGTGTGTGTGTGTGTGTGTGTGTGTGTGTGTGTGTGTAAATTAGCATGGCATGGTGGCACCTGCCTGCAGTCCCAGCTACTCAGAAGGCTGGGTTGGAAGGATCGCTTGAGCCCAGGAGGTTGAGGCTGCACTGCAGTGAGCCCAGATAGCGCCACTGCACTCCACCATGGACAACAGAGCAAGACCCTGTCTCAAAAAACAAAAAAGATACTTTTTTTGCTTTGAAAACTCAATATTAAAAACTAACCTATTGAGATATCAAATTGTATATGAAATAAAATCTCAACTCTCTCTTTAGAATAAATAGATTCATAAAAATGCTAAGGAAATGTACTACAACATTAGCAAGGGTTACTTCTGGTGTGAAGATGATGGGGGATTCCTATCTTTTTCACTTCATTTAGTTACGAACTTAACAGAATGAGCACTATTACCTTTAAAATCAGAAAACAAACACAACCACCTTCCAAAGTTTAATCAATCAACTCCTTAGAAGTGAAATGTAACAATCACTTCAAATACTCTAAAATGCAACAGAGTGAAATCTCATTACTTTCTCATCTCCCTAATTCTAATTTAAACGGAGCCCCTCCATGAAGCGTGTGCACTTTCAGAGTGATGCCAGGAAGACTCGCTCATTTTCACACTGGATAACGTTGAACTGCTCCAGATTCAGAAACTCATCAAAGAGAGGATTTACTATATTAAAACATTCACGTCCCCAAATTAAAAATGGATATTGAATACACCATATTTCTGGAGAAAATTCAGTACACAGGCCACTTCTGTTAGTGCCTGTCCCACTCCGTGGAAGCCCTGGTCTCAGGCATCTCCAGCTTCGCCACCTCCCCGCACAGACAGGGGCCTGGCAGGCATCCAGCAGAAGGCAAGGTCCATTCAAGGGTCTGGACTTTCCGTATCTCCTTTGTTTTCATCGAGTCTGGGCCGCTTTAGCTCTGGGGGACTGCCCTGAGCATCTCCAGGCGTCTCTGCAACATTAACAAACATAAGGTTGGGAAATAAATGAAGAATTCTGGAAGCCCAGGGCTGACATTTACAAAATACCGATTCAAGACATGGAACTGAACCACCTGGGAAGATCCCATACTGTTACAAGGGAAGGATCTGTACAGTGGTTCTCAAACAGGAGTGATTTTGCCTCTCAAGGGACAGTGGGCAATGTCTGGTGACATTTTAGAACGTTATGGACAAGAAATAGCACCCAGGGCTGCTGCTAAACATCCTATAATACACAGGGCAGCCCCCCACAACAAAGAATTACCTGGCCCAAAAGGTCAACAGTCATAGGTAGAGAAACCTGATCTAAACGGTCTCCTACGGAACCCACTACCGGGCTCACTGGGAGCTCTCACTGGCCAGGTGGTCTCCCTGCTGAGGCCTCAACAGGCAGCCAGTGGCTTTAAACAATGGTTCCAATAAGATGATCCTTGCTCTCTCAGAACTGACTTAAAATTAGATGGCATTAATTTCCAAAAGAACAAAAGAAAAGCTATTCTACCTTTAATTACATTAAACCAGTAACAGTATCACTTACCTGACTGAATTTCTTCTGTAGAACGGATGGAAATTACACTGGTTGGTACAGAATTTGGTGGAGTGTCTGTCTTTAAGGGTGTTAAGTTTATTCTCCTTGATTAAAAAAAAAAGTAAAGGGGTGCATGGCTCATTAGTATCACAGCAATTGTTTATGTTTATACCCACTTTCAAAACTACCAAAGGAAATACTTACATTTTCAGCTGAACATGTGGTTCACGACATTAAGTGGTGAGATGTGCCCACTTGTTTAGTAACTGAGGATTACACTCGTGTAGTAAGTGAAACCATCACAATTATGACAGTCAACTGAAACCATACCCAGTCATCTCAAAGTCTCAAAACCTGTGTTCTGTTAATTACCCATGGTCTTGTGAACACTCTGCTGGCTGCTGTATAAGGTAGTCAGATATGGTTTCTATATATGAAAAGCACCAAAACACAGATAATACTTTTTAAAAATCCAGACTCTTGGGCCAGGCAAGGTGGCTCACACCTATAATCCCAGAATTTTGGGAGGCCAAGGTGGGCAGATCACTTGAGGTCAGGAGTTTGCACCCAGCCTGGCCAACATGGCAAAATCCCACCTCTACTAAAAATACAAAAAATCAGCCAGGCATGGTGGCATGAGCCTATAATCCCAGCTACTTGAGAGGCTGAGGCAGAAGAATTACTAGAACCCAGGAGGCGGAGGTTGCAGTGAGCTGAGAGCGCACTACGGCACTCCAGCCTGGGCAACAGAGCAAGACCCTGTCTTAAATGAATGAATGAATGAATGAATGAATAAATAAATACCCAGAGTCTTAATTTTCAACAACTATTCTTGTTTTTAAAAGATTACAGGCCAGGCACGGTGGCTCACACCTGTAATCCCAGTACTTTGGGAGGCTGAGGCAGGCAGCTCACCTGAGGTCAGGAATTCGAGACCGGCCTGGGCAACAGGGTGAAACCCCATCTCTATTAAAATACAAAGTTAGCTGGGCCTGGTAGTGCATGCCTGTGATCCCAGCTACTCGGGAGGCTGAGGCAGGAGAATCACTTGAACTGGGGAGGCAGAGGTTGCAGTGAGCCGAGATTGAGCCATTGCACTCCAGCCTGGGCAACAAGAGTGAAACTCCGACTCAAAAAAAAAAAAAAAAGAAGATTACAACTTCAAGAAGCTTGGTAAATAAATCAGAAGAAATTAAGAGGGAGAAAATAATTTAATACCAAAGATAGTTCAAGAAATACTTTCTATCATCTAAAAAGAAATAGAAAAATTTTAAAATACATTGCTAATCTGCAGAACAAGAGATTTTAAAAGAGCAGTAAAGTTAGCGATCCATACACATATCGTGAACTTGTAAATGAAGACCTGTGGGCACAGGTGAGGCTGAGAGGCACAGGGCACACTTGTCTAGCTCGCCATCCCCACCACTCCCCTGTGTCCCCCTGCCACAACCCTCCTCCTGACTCAGTTGATGGGGAAGGCTGGGAGTCACAGGGCTTAATGGAGAAGGAACTATACAAGGTCACAGGGTAACTGGACATCAGCCGCAAGGGCAGGAAGGAAACGGGAGGCTGCGCTGCCTCATGGCAGAGGGCCTGCTAAGCAGCTCTGTATCCGGCAGGAGTAGCCGACATAGGATGCCAGCCACACTGACGTGGGCAGGGACAAAACAACTCTGCACCTCCCCGGGGACTGCCTGTTATCAGATTAAGACCCCCATTTCTCATGAGCCAGGCTGCTGGAAACATCAAACGTGGTCTCAGAAAGACACTCCTGGAACTGCCTACAGCCTGGGCAGGACAGCAGAAATAAAAATTGGGACCCAATTCTTGTTCCTGGGGGCTCATAACCAGCAGGAGAAACTGAAGCATCGAAGCACCTGCTATGGAATACGATGTGTGGTGACAAGGGAAGGGCTGACGGGCCGCAAAGACTGCAAACAGAGAGGGTACATTCAAAGGGGTCTTTCAGGAGACTCCTGGAGTCACCAAGAGGAACAGATGATCTGGGCTTCCCCAGGGAAGGGAAGGACAGAGGCCTCAAAGGGGAGAGTGTGCTCTGGGAAGATAGCATTCCGGGCTGGGCTAGAGACGAAGGCCACGGACTGAGGAGAGAGAATGGCCATAGTCCTGGACGACAGGCTGCAACCAAATCACAGTCCGTGTGTGTGCCTAGGAGCCTGGGCTTTACGTGACAGGCAGGAAATGGAGGAACAGACAGAGGCCTGTAGGCAAGAAATGACACTCTTGGATTTGAACTTAAGAATCTCTCTGGCAGCAGGCAAGGTGGCTCACACCTGTAATCCCAGTACTTTAGGAGGCCACAGCAGGCAGATAACCAGAGATTGGGAGTTTGAGACAAGCCTGACCAACATGGAAGAACTCCATCTCTACTAAAAATACAAAACTAGCCAGGCATGGTGACGCATGCCTGTAATCACGGCTACTCGGGAGGCTGAAGCAGGAGAATTGCTTGAATCTGGGAGGTGGAGGCTGCAGTGAGCTGAGATGGCACCATTTCACTCCAACCGGGGCAACAAGAGCGAAACTCCATCTCAAAAAAAAAAAAAAAGGGAATCTCTCTGGCAATGGCAACCCACTGGTATAAAGTATTCGCTGCCTGAAATTCCACCTCCAGCACGTTGGGAGTGTTCTGTTTGCATTTCATGTTTCATTTTGCAATGACAGTTTCTGGTTCCAGTAAGTTCTTACCGGGGCGTTGTCTTGCTCCAGGCTTGCAGTGTGTTCAGAGTGACCCTCCGGGATGGGTGGGCTTTTGTGTTTTGACTACTGGGCTGCAAGCTCTTCTCCTCTGAAGGCCGGGGCAAGGAGCTTTTGACAGCAGGAGTGACAGAGGGAGAGTCCCTGACGGCTGCTTGGGCTGGGGCCTGTCTGGCCTGTGGGGGGCTTGTGCTGGGGCTGCTGGAGTCTTGGGTTCTGCTGGCAGCGGTTCCCTCTACCAGTCTGGGTCCTGGCGAAGACCCTCGAGGTGTCTGACTCTTGGTTTTCTTTGCTGTATCAGGAGTTCTCATGCTCAAAACTGGCTTCTCTTTCAAAGGAATTCCAAGTTCATCTTTCTCAAATGTCACAAACGAGCAGTAACCGTCCGTGGAAGAAATGGCCAGGAAGGCGCCATCACTGGACCTTTGTCCCCAAAACAGGGAAAAGTTAGAGACCTTACCAACATGCTCACATCTAGTTAGAAGAGGGAAGTTCAAGCTAAATCACAAGTTTTTGTTGAAGGCAAAAACTAGGGAAAAGATACAACTAGAAAAGAGTGTGACAGCTCCTCACTCGAGGAGTTTCATTGCGATTTCCTGAGTCGCTGCAACTGACCTGTGCTACTAGCAATTTTCACTTTAGTAGGCTGGGCACAGTGGCTCACACCTACAATCCCAGCACTTTGGGAGGCCAAGGCAGGCAGATCATTTGAGGTCAGGAGTTCAAGACCAGCCTGGCCAACATGGTGAAACCCTGTCTGTACTACAAATCCAAAAAAATTAGCTGGGCATGGTGGCACATGCCTGTCCCAGCTACTTGGGAGGCTGAGGCAGCAGGAGAATTGCTTGAAACCAGGAGGCGGAAGTTGCAGTGAGCTGAGATTGTGCCACTCTAGCCTAGGTGACAGAGCAAGCTCCATCTCAAAAAACAAAACAAAACAAAACAAAAACTCACCCTGGGCCAAGCAGGCTGTGGGGGTTGACTGAAAGGTGGCAGAAGGGCAGTGATGAGTGACATCCTCTGGACAGGCCGAGCTTTGGGTAATTCCCTGTCCTGGGCAGCAGGGGCACGCAGGGAAGGGCTTCCTCCCAGAGGGCCTGAGGAGTTCCCAAATGGTCAGGGAGTCCACAGTGCCTCCCTTCAGTGTATCAGAGTCCAGTTAACCCCACAGGGCCATCTGAATGCCATTAAAACCCACCAGTGTGAAAATAAGCAGCAAGTATTGTGGCAAACTAGAAACGGCTTTCCTTTTAATACTGATTTTTTAAAAAACAAAATTGGACCAGGCATGGTGGCTCACACCTGTAATCCCAGCACTTCGAAGGCCGGGGTGGGAGGATCACTTGAGCCCCGGAGTTTGAGACCAGCCTGGACAATGTGGCGAAACCTCGTCTCTACTAAAACCAGAAGAATTAGCCAGGCGTAGTAGTGCACACCTGTAATCCCAGCTACCTGAGAGGCTGAGGCATGAAAACTGCTTGAACCTGAGGGTGGAGGTTGCAGTGAAACGAGATCACACCACTGCACTCTAGCCTGGGCAACAGAGTCAGATTCAGTCACAAAAAAATAAATAGGCCGGGCGTGGTGGCTCAAGCCTGTAATCCCAGCACTTTGGGAGGCCGAGGCGGGTGGATCACGAGGTCAAGAGATCGAGACCATCCTGGTCAACATGGTGAAACCCCGTCTCTACTAAAAATACTAAAAAATTAGCTGGGCATGGTGGCGTGTGCCTGTAATCCCAGCTACTCAGGAGGCTGAGGCAGGAGAATTGCCTGAACCCAGGAGGCGGAGGTTGTGGTGAGCCGAGATCGCGCCATTGCACTCCAGCCTGGGCAACGAGAGCGAAACTCCGTCTCAAAAAAAAAAAAATAAATAAAATAAATAAATAAACAAATAAGAAACAAAATAGGGCTAGGCGCGGTGGCTAACACCTGTAATCCCAGCACTTTGGGAGGCCAAGGCGGGCAGATCACAAGGTCAAGAGATTGAGATCATCCTGGCCAACATGGTGAAACCCCATCTCTACTAAAAGTACAAAAAAATTAGCTGGGCGTGGTGGCATGCACCTGTAGTCCCAGCTACTCGGGAGGCTGAGGCAGGAGAATTGCTTGAACCCAGGAGGCAGAGGTTGCAGTGAGCCAAGGTCGCATCACTGCACTCCAGCCTGGCGCCTGGTGACAGAGTGAGACTCCGTCTCAAAAAAAAAAGAAACAGACCGGGCGCGGTGGCTCAAGCCTGTCATCCCAGCACTTTGGGAGGCCGAGGCAGGTGGATCACGAGGTCAAGAGATCGAGGCCATCCTGGTCAACATGGTGAAACCCCGTCTCTACTAAAAATACAAAAAAAATTAGCTGGGCATGGTGGCACGTGCCTGTAATCCCAGCTACTCAGGAGGCTGAGGCAGGAGAATTGCCTGAACCCAGGAAGCGGAGGTTGTGGTGAGCCGAGATCGCGCCATTGCACTCCAGCCTGGGTAACAAGAGTGAAACTCCGTCTCAAAAAAATAAATAAATAAAAATAATAATAATAATAAAATAAAAATTAAAAAAAAAGAAACGAAATAGGTGAATATGGCACCCAAAGCCATCTTTGGTAATAAAATACTCCCTAACCCCAGGGTCTGTTCCAGGTTAACGGCCACGGTCTCCTTCACTCACTCTCCCTTCTTAGCAGCCACTCACCATGAAATGTCACTGAGGGTGTGGTAATGTATGTTAGACACATAACCAAAAGGGAAGGACTGCTGGGTATCGTACAGAAGCACGGAGTCCTCCGAAGCCACGGCGAACACCAGGCGGTAGGGCAGACTCATCAGCTCCACACCTGGGGGTCGGGGACAGAGACAAAGTAAAACTGCAGAAACAAGGCTTCTGGCTGGGCGCAGTGGCTCACACCTAGAATCCCAGCAATTTGGAAGGCTGAGCTGGGTGCTCGAGCTCAGGAGTTTGAGACCAGCCTAAGCAACATGGCAAAACCCTGTCTCTACCAAAAATACAAAAATTAGCCAGGCTTGGGAGCACATGCCTGTAGTCCCAGCTACTCTGGAGGCTGAGGTGGTAGAATCACGGAGCCTGGGAATTTAAGGCTGAGGTGAGCCACGATCACACCACTGCAGACCACTGCACTGTGAATCGCTGGAGCCTGGGAAGTTAAGGCTGAGGCGAGCCATGATCGCACCACTGCACACCACTGCACTGTGAATCGCTGGAGCCTGGGAAGTTAAGGCTGAGGCGAGCCACAATCACATCACTGCACTCCACTGTGCTTTGCTGGGTGACGGAGTGAGACTCTGCCTCAATAAGTAAATAAATAGCAAAGCTCTTAAAGGAAACAAATAACTAATTCCCCAGCAAAGCCCTCTCTCCAGGGGGACCTAAATGACACAGTTTTACAAAAAGCTAGTTTACCACATGCTTTACAAAAAAAATTCAGATCTTGGTATTATTTATACCTGACCACAAGAATAAAAAGAACATTCAAGAACCAGTGAGGACAGTGTACCAGGAACCAAGAGTCATGGGAACAGAAGGGCCAAAAAAGTAGGGAAAACAAACATGTGTGACAAAGGCAAGTCAATCTGAGAGTCTGCTTTCTTTAAGGAAATTTAAGAGTTACTCAGCAACATTGTATCTAGTGCTATTTATTCATTCACATAAAGGATCAAAATTTAAAAACAGCTTCTGCTTCCAGCACTGAAGAAAAAGGGATCAGATTTGCCCTCCTACCTGAAAAAATCCTAAAATACCAGGCAGTCTTTTGAAACACTGGCAATGAAGGATAGTGATCCTTCAGAGAACCGAAGCAAATGAGCTAAGTCCTACCATTTCTTCAACTTACTGCCTGGAGAGTTTCCAGGCCTTGTAAAGGCAGAGGAGCCAGGCAGAGCCCAGCAGATGCCCAGAGCTGAGAAGATGGAGCTGGGAGTCCAGTTAAGGCCAAGGCAGCTGGAGTCACAGGGCAGAGGACCATAGACAAGGGCCGCGGAGAGCGAGGGCCAGAGACAAGAGCTGCAGAGAGCGAGCTCCAGAGGCCTTCAAGGTCCCTCTGGGGTCACTGGCTGTGTGCTGATCTGTGCATGCATGAGCAGATCTGAGGCTGGAGAAAGAACATCAGAAAGAACAATCCCCGAAGCCCACAAAGGGCCGACAGTGTGTATTCCCCCAGCTGGAGCAGACAACCTTGTATTTCACAGGGCCCAGATTAGAGTACATGGAAGGCTTTGCCTCAGGAGTGGGGAAAATTAGCCCTAGACTAAATGCTGCCTAACAAAGCTTAAAAACAAGACCTAAAAGCAGCTAAATATTTCTAAGTAACTACTGCATCCCAGAATAAACCTCAAGAATATTTGTAAGAATAGACCAGCCGGGCGCGGTGGCTCAAGCCTGTAATCCCAGCACTTGGGGAGGCCGAGGGAGGCAGATCACCTGAGGTCAGAAGTTCGAGACCAGCCTGGCCAACACAGTGAAACACCATCTCTACTAAAAATACGAAAATCAGCCAAGCATGGTGGTGCATGCCTATAGTTCTAGCTACTTAGGAGGCTGAGGTAGGAGAATCTCTTGAACCCAGGAGGTAGAGGCTGCAGTGAGCTGAGATTGTGCCACCACACTCCAGCCTTGGCGGCAGAGCAAGACTCTGTTTCAAAAAAAAAAAAAAGAATTTTTATAGGAGTAAAAATACATCCAGCATCCATTAAGATACCAGACATTGCATTTTAATGTTAGATTAAAATTCAATGTCTAGTATCTAATCAAAAAGTACCAGGCAAGCAAAGAAACAGGAAGATATGAACCACAATGAGGAAAAAAAAAAGAAATCTAACCTGTATGCAAGGACATTAAAAGAGCTATTACAACTGCATTCTATATGCTTAAGAAGCGAGAGGAAACTGAGGGACCATCACCTGAGGTCAGGAGTTCAAGACCAGCTTGGCCAAAATGGCAAAACCCCGTGTCTACTAAAAATACAAAAATTAGCTGGGCGTGGTAGTGCACACCTGTAATCCCAGTTACTTGGGAGACTGAGGCAGGAGAATAAGTTGAACCTGGGAGGTGGAGGTTGCAGTGAGCCGAGATTGCACCACTGCACTCCAGCCTGCTGGGCGACAAGAATGAAACTCCTTTTCACCAAAAAAAAAAAAAGAAAGAAAGAAAGAAAGAAGCAAGAAAGAGGAAAGATGGAGCATGGAGAGACAGGGAATATACAAGGAAGATCCAAAGTGAACCTCTGAGAAATGAGAACCACAACGACAAAAAACACACTAGACGGGACCAAGGGCAGAGCATGCAGAAGAAGGGGATACCGAACTGAAAACACAGCTATAGAGACTTCCAAAATCTAACACTGGAAGACAAAAAAAAAGTAAGCAGTATCAAAAGCCAGGAAATAATTTCAAAGGACCTAATACAATATATGTGTAATAGGAGTATTTGAATAAGAGAAGGGGGATGACAGAAATAATATTTGAAGGAATAATGGCTGAAACTTCCCAAACGAAATATAAATTATAAACCCATAGATCTATGAAGTTCAATGAACCACAAGCACAAGAAAACATAAAGAAAATGGCCAGCCACAGCGGCTCATGCCTGTAATCCCAGCACTTTGGGAGTCCAAGCCAGGCAGATCATTTGAGTTCAGGAGTTTGAGACCAACCTGGCCAACATGGCAAAACCTCATCTCTACTAAAAATAGAAAAGTTAGCCTGGTGTGGTGGCATATGCCTGCAATCCCAGCTACTCTGGAGGCTAGATGAAAGAATCCCTTGAACCTAGGAAGCAGAGGTTGCAGTGAGCTGAGATCACACCACTGCACTCCAGCCTGGACAACAGAGTGAGACTCCATCTCAAAGAAAGAAAGAAAGAAAATTGATAATCAGAGACATAGACAAAAGGAGTACTTCTATTCTTTTTAAAGTGCCTTAAGCAAGAAAATATATCCTGAAAAAAGAAAAAAAACCTGACATGTATTTTTATAACCTCAGTCTTTGCTCCAGCTTTTAAGAATAACTGAACTGGGCCAGGCACGGTGGCGCACACCTGTGATCCCAGCACTTTGGGAGGCCAAGGCAGGTGGATCGCTTGAGTCCAGGAGTTAAAGACCAGCCTTGGCAACATGCTGAAACTCCATCACTACCAAAAATACGAAAATTAACCAGCCTCATAACCTGGTCTCAAAATAAATAAATAAATAGACTTAAATGCAAAAATAAAATAAAATATTTTAAAAATAACTAAACTGAACCAAACCCACATGCCCGCCTTTCCCCATAAGACAGAATCCAAACCGCCATCCCACTCTGGTGGCCTGTTTTAGAGAGAAAACATAACACAGCCCTGAAGCTCTGAGGATACCTGTTTCCACCACCGGCCTCAGTTCAAAGTAGACTGGACAGCAGCGAACAGCAAGAGTGGCTTTTCCAGGACATGGAAGATGAGCGACGGGCCTAATGGATTAATTGCAGTTTTAGGAAAAGGCACTGTGACTCAGCAAAAGCAAAAATAAAAGGTAAATATTTCAGCAGGGCACAGTGGCTCATGCCTGTAATCTCAGCACTTTGGGAGGAGGAGGTGGGCAAATCACCTGAGGTCAGGAGTTTAAGACCAGCCTGGCCAATATGACAAAACCCCATCTCTACTAAAAAAAGAAAAATACAGGCCAGGTGCAGTGGCTCATGCCTATAATCCCTGCACTTCGGAAGGCTGAGGCGAACAGATCACTTGAGGTCAGGAGTTCGAGACCAGCCTGGCCAACATAGTGAAACTTGGTCTCTACTAAAAATACCAAAATTAGCTGGGGGTGGTGGAGGGCACCTGGAATCCCAGCTACTCAAGAGGCTGAGGCAGGAGAACCACTTGAACCTGGGAGGCAGAGGTTGCAGTGAGCTGAGATCATGCCATTCCACTCCAGCCTGGGCAACAAAAGCAAAACTCCATCTCAAAAAACAGAGTAATTAAGTATTTCCTCAACTGCATACCTTTTAAGATTCTTCCTGGAGAAAACGTAAGTGGTATTCGTTACATTTTCACCGGATTCCACACATCCAGCTGGGAGCAGGGAAGGGAGAGGAAAGAAGAGTCATTGCTTTAGCAAGCTGTTCACCAACAGAAGCTCAAGAGCCTTTACTTTTGGTTTGCAAAACAGTTCCCCTGAAGTTATATTCTCTGGACAGGGTTGTGACTAACAAAAACAAATATTCCCAGCCAGGCACAGTGGCTCATGCCTATAATCCTAGCACTTTGGGAGGCCAAGGTGGGTGGATCACAAGGTCAGAGAATGAGACCGTCCTGGCCAACATGGTGAAACTCTGTCTCTACTAATAACATAAAAGTAAGTGGGTGTGGTGGTACCTACCTGTAATCCCAGCTACTTGGGAGGCTGAGGCACGAGAATAGCTTGAACCCAGGAAGCAGAGGTTGCAGTGAGCCAAGATCACGCCACTGCACTCCAGCCTGGGTGACAGAGCGAGACTATGTCTCAAAAAAAAAAAAAAAAAAAAAAAAAATTCTAGCACTGTCTGGTCTCAGCCCTTTCCCCAGTTCTACCCACCTGGCATCTCCACCTACCTGTGGGCTGCCCCTGGGGACCTGGTTCTGATTGTGCGCTGGAAGAACATAGGGAGCCCTTGCCATAGGGCACCTTTGAGCCTACAGGCAGTTCCTCAATTGAAGCACCATGACTAGATCCAGCTGCCCAGGCTCCCCGCTAGGACCCATCTCTATTCCATGGATTCCAGCCTCGGTTGCCATCCAAAGGATGAGACTGCCTTTCCCCGACTGCCCTATCCAGCCATGAGGCTGCCAGGAGACCTCACCCTCTGCCGAAACCTCCAGCCTCCTTCAGGGCCTGACTTTGCTGTGGGGAACAGCCCCCATCTGAGAGCTCTTCTCCACTCACCCATGCTGTATTAAAGCAGTTCAGTCCTGTCAGAGTGACCATCAAACATGGCTGCTCTTGGAAATATCTCCCCGTTTTATGTCCATATTTCTTGATACATATACGCACATATAACTTTACATATGACCATTTCACATCCACTAGGGAGGGCAGTAGACAGTGTCAGTAGTCTTAATACATTCTACATAGCTACCCTCTTTTTGTTTTTCCTTTTGAGATGGAGTCTCACTCTGTCACCCAGGCTACAGGACAGCAGCACGATCTTGGCTCACTGCAACCTCCACCTCCCAGAATCAAGCAATTCTCCTGCCTCAGTCTCCTGAGTAGCTGGGATTACAGGCACCTGCCACGATGCCCAGCTAATTTTTGCATTTTTTAGTAGAGACGGGGTTTCACTATGTTGGCCAGGGTGGTCTCGAACTCCTGACCTCAAGTGATCTGCCTACCTCAGCCTCCCAAAGTGCGGGGATTACAGGCATGAGCCACTGCGCCCAGCCCCCTCTTTTCATCCCACTCCATTTCTTCCATCCCCAAGAAATCCATTTCAACATTCAACGCACCATTCTGTGATCTGTATATTTCCTCCATGCTCACATACTCATTACAACCAGCTATAACTCAATCACATATATACCTCTATGACGGTTTTTTATTGAGTCCATTTGTTTTACAAAACAGGGTATTACTGATACTTTTCCTTATTTTGCTTGTCTCAGTCAACTACTCATGAACGTTAACTTGCATAGCACTGATGCATTCTTTTCTTATAGCTGCATGTAATATTGACTGCAAGATTCATCCACCCAATCTCTGTTAATGAGTATTTCTTTCCTTTTGGTTTTTTACCACTATAAACAATGCCTGCAATAAGCATCCTTAAACATACACTCTTATACACTATGCTCTCATTTCTAAAGGAATTGGTCTCAGATGCGGGACAGATGGACTGGAGCTTCATGCATTTAGCTGTTCCCAGGCTGCTTTCCAAAACGGCTGGAACAATTCACCTTCCCACCAGCAATACCCACGTTCTACATGCCCATCAGCAACCGGCATTGCTTGTTCCAGTCAGAAGGGAATAAAACAAAGTCTCTGACTCTCACGCCACTATATTTTGTATTTCCCTATTATTGAGTTCAGAGCCTTTTCTTATATCTGCTGAAAGTACAGACTTGCTCTTTCTGTATCCTTTAGTCATTTTTCCTTTTGGGTTTTTCTTTTTTTGTTATCAGTTTGGAAGGGCTCATTGTCGACGATCTATATGAGCTTTCTCTTCTCTAGACCACATATTATTTCCCAGCTCCATCCTTTGTCCACTGATCTTGCTCACTGTACCGTCCGTCATAGGATACAGTCACATGGGTCTATTACTTCCTTAAGAGCGTCTGGGTTTCCAGTCTTAATTGGGTCCTCCTACATTTCCTTACAAGAGTTTTCTATTTTTACCTTTTGTGTTTAAGTACTGAATTCACCTGGAATTTATTTTTTACATAGAGGCAAGGGGTTCACTTTTATCTTCTTCCATGTAGCTGGCTACCCCAGCACTACGCATTCAATAATAAGAGTCTTCCTTCACAAGATCCATTTCCTGCACAACATGGTGATTATGGTTCATACAATGTATTACATTCCTGAAAAATGCTGACAGAGTAGATATAAAGTGTTCTCACCACAGAAATCCTAATTATGTGAGATCATGCTATGCTGGTTAGCCAGATTTAGTCATTCCACAACATATATATAATTCAAAACATCATGTCCTACACGACTGCATACAATTTCATCCGTCAATTAAAAAAAAAGTTGGGGCCAGGCACAGTGGCTCATGCCTGTAATCCCAACACTTTGGGAGGCCGAGGCGGGCGGATCATGAGGTCAAAAGATTAAGACCATCCTTCCCAACAGGATGAAACCCCATTATCTACTAAGAATAAAAAAAAAATCAGCTGGGCATGGTGGCATGTGCCTGTAATCCCAGCTACCCAGGAGGCTGAGGCAGGAGAATCGCTTGAACCCAGGAAGCGGAGGCTGCAGTGAGCTGAGATCACGCCACTGCACTCCAGCCTGGTAACAGAGCAAGACTCTGTCTCAAAAAAAAAAAAAAAAAAAAAAAAAAGAGGCCGGGCACAGGGACTCATGCCTGTAATCCCAGCACTTTGGGAGGTAAAGGCAGGTAGATCACCTGAGGTCAGGAGTTTGAGACCACCCTGGCCAACATGGTGAAACCTTCTCTCTATTAAAAATACAGAAATTAGCTAGGCATGGTGGTAGGCTCCTGTAATCCCAGTTACTCGGGAGGCTGAGGCAGGAGAATCACTTGAACCCAGGAGATGGAGGTTGCAGTGAGCTGAGATTGCGTCATTGTACTCCGGCCTGGGCGACAAGCGCAAAACTCTGGCTCAAAAAAAAGAGGAATAGGTCTTCATCCAATCTCAATACTTCCCAGCCGCCTTAATGACATATTCTTGTCCTATCTGCCTTGAGTGTCTAATTCTCGAGGATTATTTAAGTGACATATAATTAATTACAAACAAGTAATAGATTCTCTCCACTGGAACACCACCTGCAGTCATATATTAACTTGCCTTATATCCTAAGATCTTTTTCTAGATTCTACGCTCTGGTCCACTCATCTATTTGTTTGGTCCTATAGGAACACTGTATTGATTGGATAAAAGTAGTGTTACACTATCTTCTGACATGCCGAGAGGCAAATGCCCTCCCAAGTATCTCTGATTTTCTTTCATACTTCCTTGGCTATTCTTCAGCATTTATTCTACTAAACAAAGCTAAGACTTCATCCAATTAAAAAAAAAAAAAAAAAAAACTTTAATGCAATTCTAATCGGAAATGAAATTGCTATGCTAATTTTTAGAACATTATATATCTTTCCATTTGTCCAGAACTTGTTTTATAACCTTCAATAAGATCTTCTAGGCTTCTCCATAAAGGTCCTGTCTCCTTCTTATTAAATTTACTTCTGGCTGGGTGTGGTGGCTCACATCTGTAGTCCCAGCTCTTTGGGAGGCTGAGGTGGGAGAGTTCCTTGAGTCCAGGAGTTTGAGACCCGCCTGGGCAACATAGCAAGACCTCGTCTCTCTCCAAAAATTTAAAAATTAGCTGGGCATGGTGCTACATGCCTGTGGTCCCAGGTACTAGGGAGGCTGAGGTGGGAGGATTCCCTGAACTCAGGAAATCAAGGCTGCAGTGATGCAGTGAGCCATGACCACACTGTACTCCAGCCTGGGTGACAGAGACCCTGTCTAAAAAATAAAAAAAAAATTCCTCTGTATATTTTGCATACTTTGCATTACTATGAATGGAATCTTTTTCATCCTTCCATTTCTAAGTACTCACTGCCAATATAGAAGATACAGATTTTTATATATTTTACAATATCTAGCCAACTTATCAAATTCTTTTGAAAATTCTAATAGCATTTTTTAAATCTCTTGGATTTTCTAGAAATACAATCCTATTGCAGTTTTTATCTCTTCTTTTCCAATCTGTGTAATTTCCTTTTTCTGTTTTCCTGCACTAAGAACACAAAGAACAAAGCACAAAGCAGTGATAACAGACATCCATTTGCTACTTGATTTTAATTGAAAATATTTTTAAAGTGGCCATTTAGTAAAGGGTTTGCTACTGAGGCAGGGCAAGGTGGCTCACAACTGTAACCTGTAATCTCAGCACTTTGGGAGGCCAAGGTGGGCAGATCACCTGAAGTCAGGAGTTTGAGACCAGCCTGGCCAACATGGCGAAACCCCATCTCTACTAAAAATGCAAAAATTATCTGGTCGTGGTGATGGGCACCAGTAATCCCAGCTACTCAGGAGGCTGAGTCAATAGAATTCACTTGAACCCAGGAGCTGGAGGCTACAGTGAGCCAAGATGGTGCCACTGCATTCCAGCTTGGGTGACAGAGAGAGACTCCATTTAAAAAATATATATTAAAAAAATGTATTACTGGGTTTAGTGAGTAACGTTTAATGATGAATGTTTAATAATTAACTTTAGTAAATAACCTAAACAACTAGTTTTTCTTGATCCTGAGACTTCCTAAGCCAAAGTGTCATTCCCACATGTTCCAGTGTTCTTTAAAACCTCACCCACACGGCAGCATGTGTGTGATTCACACCCTTCTCAGGCCCTCCCTGGCCCAGCTGGGAGGGGACTCAGTGGCAGACCTGCCCTGTGCCCCCGCATTTGGCCCAACCCTGGTCAGTGTTGTCATCTGTATGCACAGGATGGTCCTGGAGCCATGGAGATGAGCAGGCATCGTTCTCTAAGAACACTCTGGCCTCAGTGCTACCTAGCCTTATCTTGCTGGGCTGAGCCTCTCACCTTTTTAGGGACAAGAAAACTTGGCTGACCTTTTTGTTGAGACAAAGTTTTGCTCTTGTTCCCCAGGCTGGAATGCAACGCCGTGATCTCGGCTCACCACAACCTCTGCCTCCCAGGTTCAAGCGATTCTCCTGCCTCAGCCTCCTGAGTAGCTGGGATTATTGGCAGGCACCACCATGCCCCACTAATTTTTTGTATTTTTAGTACAGACAGGTTTTCTCCATGTTGGTCAGGCTAGTCTCAAACTCCTGACCTCAGGTAGTCTGCCCACCTTGGCCTCCCAAAGTGCTAAGATTACAGGCGTGAGCCACCAAGCCCAGCCAAAGGTTAAATTATCTAAGAGAAAATGCCTATCACTTTAATCTTACAACTCTCAAACTTGCCTGCACATTAGAATCACTGGGAAATCTTTTTAAAATTTCCAAAGCCAGGCCACCCAGACCAATTACACTACTCTGGGGGAGGGACATAGGGTCCAAGGTCTTTTTGAAGCTTCCCTGGAGGTTCCAATGGGCAGGCAAGTCGGGGACTCCTGCAAGCTGGGGACCCCTGCTCTGATCAGCATTCACTGAGCTGATAAGCAGCGTAAAACAGGAGCAGACATTCCTGCTTGGCCATCCTTCCCTTAAATCCGAAGCTACGAAACACACCTGGCGTGAGGAGCAAAGATCCATCAGGAGTGAAACTCAGTCTTCGGAAGAACGACTTCATGCTATCGTCGTGAAACATCCGGTAGCTTCTTGCCTGCCGCACAAAAAATTTATTTTTATTATTATTTTTTATTATTTGGTTGGTTTGTTTCTTCTCTACACACAAAGTTTAAACATTTTTCCAAATCTTCACACTCACAATAAAGGTTTCCCAAATGCTGTATGTTCCTATGGTTTCCTTTATAGTGTCATTTACTGTTGACATAATCATAAATCAAACTGAAATATATTTCAAATCAAGTAACTGTGCAATACTGCAAAGGTAATCATTCATGAAAACTGACCATACATTTTTGTTAGGTAAAGCTGTATGTATATATGGGTGTTTTATGTCCTTCTAAAATTATTATTATTATTATTATTATTATTATTTTTGAGACGGAGTTTCGCTCTTCTTACCCAGGCTGGAGTGCAATGGCGCAATCTCGGCTCACCGCAACCTCCACCTCCTGGGTTCAGGCAATTCTCCTGCCTCAGCCTCCTGAATAGCTGGGATTACAGGCATGCGCCACCATGCCCAGCTAATTTTTTGTATTTTTAGTAGAGACGGGGTTTCACCATGTTGACCAGGATGGTCTCGATCTCTTGACCTTGTGATCCACCCACCTCGGCCTCCCAAAGTACTGGGATTACAGGCTTGAGCCACCGTGCCTGGCCTCTAAAATTATTTTTAAAAACTCTTAAGAACACAAACCACAGGGTCAAGAGTGGGTCAACTGGGACTTGAGACTGGGAGACAGAGGGAAGATGACCAGGAGACCTTTGCTTTCTGTCTGTGTGGATTCATTTAGAATTTCCAACTGAATGCACTCTATTTATTTATTTTTATTTTTATTTTTTGAGACAGAGTCTTGCTCTGTCGCCAGGCTGGGGTGCAAGGGCACAATTTTGGCTCACTGAAACCTCCACCTTCCGGATTCAAGCAATTCTCCTGCCTCAGCCTCCCAAGTAGCTGGGACTACAAGCACATGCCACCATACCCAGCTAATTTTTGTATTTGTAGTGGAGATGGGTTTCACCATGTTGGCCAAGATGGTCTCCATCTCTCGACCTCATGATCCACCCACCTTGGCCTCCCAAAGTGCTGGGATTACAGGCCATGAGCCACCGTGCCCAGCCTATTTATTTAGAGACAGCGTCTTGTTCTGTCACCCAGGCTAGAGTGCAGTGGCGCAATCATAGGTCACTGCAACCTAGAACTTCTGGGCTCAATCCTCCCACCTCAGCCCCCTGAGTAGCAAGGACTACAGGCACATGTCACCACCTCCAGCTATTAATAAATGTATCCTTTTAAAAAAGAAAATAGTGGATTATTAAACTGGTTATCATTAATCTTTCCAAACAACATTTCTTGAACACCTGTCTAGCATAGGTCTTACTTAAACATTTTATAAACATCAAGCATGTGCTGGGCATGATGGCTCACACCTGTAATACCAGCACTTTGGGAAGCTGAGGCAGGCAGATCACTTGAGGCCAGGAGTTTGAAACCAGCCTGGCCAACATAGGAAAACCCCATCTCTACTAAAAATACAGCTATTATCCAAGCATAGTGGCACATGCCTGTAATCCCAGCTACTCGGGAGGCTGAGGCAAGAGAAACACTTAAACCTGGGAGGCGAAGGTTGCAGTGAGCCAAGATCACACCACTGCACTCCAGCTTAGGAGACAGAGCCAGACATTGTCTCAACAACATGCATGCATTTTTAATTCTTAAGAACACAAGGAAGCAGGCATTACTATTATTTATTTGTTTATTTATTTTGAGATGGCATTTCACTCTTGTTGCCCAGGCTGGAGGGCAATGGCGCAATCTCAACTCACCGCAACTTCCACCTCCCAGGTTCAAGCAATTCTCCCGCCTCAGCCTCTGGAGTAGCTGGCACTACAGGCATGTGCCACTATGCCCAGCTAATTTCCGTATTTTTAGTAGAGACAGGGTTTCACCATGTTAGCCAGGCTAGTCTTGAACTCCTGACCTCAGATGATCTGCCCGCCTGCACCTCCTAAATTGCTGGGATTACAGGGGTGAGCCACTGCACCCAGCTGGCATTACTATGCTTACTTCACAGGTGTGACCTCTCAGTGCCTGTCAGCAGCCAGCCCACACTGCCTTACCCTGCTTCCTTGGAGGGATTTGCACCAAGTTCCCACGTGGAGCCAGTAACCAGCTTACTCCCCTGTACCTCAATGCCTGCCTCAGTAGCCTTGAGTCCTTTAGGACTAGAGTCCTATTTTCATTTGCCAATTCTTTCAAAATCAAAATCCTTCCTATTCCTAAATACCAGCGTTTTGGCTGCATCTCTGCCGTCTGCTACCAAAGCTCTCTATCTACCTGCCAAGATAGTAGTAAACTGAATGCTGCCAGACAGATCCAACGCTGGACCGCCTGTCTTCTCTCGCCTCGTGTAGGGATCTTCCCAAATCAGTAGTGACCAGCCCTCACTGCATCTGAGAATCATGGCGGCCCTACCTACCTCCAACCAAGTGAATCACACCACTCAGGCTGGGGCCAAGGCATCCATATTTTTATTTTTATTTTTATTAATTAAGTTATTTATATGATATTGAGTTTCGCTCTTGTCACCCAGGCTGAAGTGCAATGGCGCCATCTCAGCTCACAGCAACCTCCACCTTCCGGGTTCAAGCAATTCTCCTGCCTCAGCCTCCTCAGTAGCTGGGATTACAGGCGCACGCCACCATACCCAGCTAATTTTGTATTTTTAGTAGAGACGGGGTTTCACCATGTTGGTCAGGCTGGTCCCAAACTCCTGACCTCAGGTGATCTGCCCACCTCAGCCTCCCAAAATGCTGGGATTACAGGTGTGAGCCACCATGCCCAGCCTTATTTTTGAAATAGAGTCTCACTCTATCATCCAGACTGGAGTGTAGTGGCATAATCTCAGCTCACTGCAACCTCCACCTCCCAGGTTCAAGTGATTCTCATGCCTCAGCCATCCGAGTAGCTAGGATTACAGCTATGTACCACCATGCCCAGATAATTTTTGTAATTCATTGAGATGGGATTTGACCATGTTGGCCAGGCTGGTCTCAAACTCTTGACCTCAAGTGATCCGCCCACCTCAGTCTCCCAAAGTGTTGGGATTCCAGGCGTGAGCCACCATGCCTGGCCAGCACCCATATTTGTAATGCTTCCCAGGTGATTCTACAGTGCAGCCAGGGTTGAAAACCACTATCCTGTCCTCCATCGGTGGCTCTCCCTTGGTCTCCAGATGTCCCCATTTCCATACAGATTAGCCCACCACACTAACTGAGCCTTGACTGTCCAAGAGGAAGCCTTATCATAGTTCAGAAATGGGGTCCTTGAGGCCAGTGATTTGGCCACAAGGGTATGGGAGGAGCTCGTGACTTCCTAATAAAGTGCTGCTGAAAAAGAATGGCAAAATATTGTGTACCTCTCCTTCAGCCCCTATTCCAGACAGCATCTTCGAAACATTAAAAGCCACACGCTTCTTCTGTGTACTGTATACTCGCAGCACCCTGAAGAAAGAACACATTGATTTATCACTTCTAGTACATGAATTATGCTTCACACAGAAACAACTTATTACCAACAGCCTATTACCACCGCAACAATTTTCAGCCTGCAAAAGCTTTTACCAGTGATATTCACAACTGGATAATTATGAAGGAAGTGAATATTAGCAACCTAAAGAATATTACAGGTCGGGTATGGTGGATCATGCCTGTAATCCCAGCACGTTGGCCAAGGAAGGCCGATCATTTGAGGTCAGGAGTTCGAGAACAGCCTGATCAACATGGTGAAATCCTGTCCCTACTAAAAACACAAAAATTAACCGGGTATGGTGGTGCACACCTGTAATCCCAGTTACTAGGGCAGCTGAAGCAGGAGAATCACTTGAAACCAAGAGGAAGATGTTGCAGTGAGCTGAGATTGCACCACCACACTCCAGCCTGGGTGAGAGACTGAGACTCCGTCTCCAGGAAACAAACAAACAAAAAAGATTTACTAAGTACAGTACAAACTTCGTGTAAGGCACTTTCCCTAATTAAATTTCCAATTTCTGATCATAGTATAAGAATGAGTATAAAAGCAAGAACAAAAGAATGAAAGCTAGACTATGATAAATGTTGGTTAAGGTGTGATAAAAATCTCTCTGCAGGAAATTTCAAGTAAATACAAAGACAGCTTGCCAAAGCCAAATGTACCTGTCACAGCTCAGAGTAGCAACATATTGACCCAAAGGGTCCCAGGTTACTCCTTGGACGTAACTTTTATGTTCATTAAAAATCGATATCTTTTGTCCTATAAAAAACCACACACAAAAAACAGCATTATCAAAACTTATTTGAGCCCAAATAGTATAAACTATGACATAAATATTATTCCCTTTTACCATGTATCACTCAGCGGGTGTAAGTGAGAGACTCCGTACTAAACCCTGTGTCAGGCTCTGGGGTTGCAAAGGTGATTTCATGCAGTCCCCACCGTCAGGGAGCTCACAGATCAGAAAGACCCATCAACGAGCAAGTATCACACATGTGGACCGGGAGAGGAGGGGGAGCTGATAGCACGGGGCACCGGGTCCCAGAAGATCTAAGTTCAGTTCCCCAGGTCAGGCAGGATGAGGAGGAGAAGAAGGATGGAAGACGGTATTCTAAGGAAATCCACGAGGTTAAGACAGCTTAGTGAGGCAGGGCAAGGTGGCTCATGCCTGTAATCCCAGCACTTTGGGAGGTGGAGGAGGGCGGATCACCTGAGGTCAGGAGTTCAAGACCAGCCTGGCCAATGTGGTGAAACTCCATCTCTACTAAAAATACAAAAATTAGCTGGGCATGGTGGTGCCTGCCTGTAATCCCAGCTACTTGGGAGGCTAAGGCAGGAGAATTGCTTGAACCTGGGAGGCGGAGGTTGCAGTGAGCCAAGACGGCGCCATTGCACTCCAGCCTGGGCGACGGGCAAAACTCCGTCCCCCAAAAAAAGAGTTTAGTGAAATGAATACGGAGAAGTGAGAGGCGACTGAAAACTGCTAATGGGTACAGCGAAGGCCAAAAACCGAAGATAAGGAGGAAAGGAGAAACATTACAGACCGTGTGTGTAAGGAAAGGGCTGTGGGTATTTGAGCTGAGAAGTCATCTGCATTTTAAAGTTCAAACAGGTTTAGAAGATGACAAAAAGTGTCACTAGTTAGGAGGTGACCGAGTAGACCAGGAAAAAGATGAGGAGGGCCCAGAGCAGACAATGTGAACAGGGATAGAAAAGGGACTCGGAAAATATTCAGCACACAGAGATCGCCTCCATAAAAGGGCAAGGGAGTTGGGAAGCCTTGACCATTCCTTTTTTCTTTTTTTTGAGATAGGGTCTGGTTCTGGAGTGCAGTGGCACCATCAGAGCTCAATGCAGCCTCAACTTCCCAGGCTCAAGAGATTCAGCAGCCCGAGTAGCTGAGACTATTGGCCCATGCTATCACATCCAGTTAATTTTTGTATTTTTTTGGTAGACAGCGTTTTGCCGTGTTGCCCATGCTGGTCTTGAACTCCTGGGCTCAAGCAATCCTCCCAAAGTGCTGGGATTACAGGCATGAGCCACTGAGTCTGGCAGGTCATTTTTTTTTTTTTTTTTTTTTTTTTTTTGAGGTTTTTGGTGAGGTTCTGTAGCAACACATCACACTCAAGATAAAACCTAAAATCCTGGCCAGGCGCAGTAGCTCACTCCTGTAATCCCAACATTTTGGGAGGCCAACGCAAGTGGATCACTTGAGGTCAGGAGTTCGAGACCAGCCTGGCCAAAAACCCTGTCTCCACTAAATACACAAAAATTAGCTGGGTGTGGTGGCGGGTGCCTGTAATCCCAGCTACTCTGGGGACTGAGGCAGGAGAATTGTTGAACCCAGAAGGCAGAGGTTGCAGTGATCCAAGATCGCACCACTGCACTCCAGCCTGGGCGACTGAGTGAAACTCTGTCTCAAACAAACAAACAAACACACAAACAAACAAGACAGGATGGAGGACGGCTTGGCTGGACAGCATGGAACTAAAAAGAGCGAAGATTTTTATAAACTGGATGAGAACTGGGCTGACACAACGTCACGGGGACAGCCAACACCAACTCCCCTCCCTAGAGACTTGAGTTGTAGAACTGGCAGGAAGAGGCTTAGGAGAAAACAAAGTTTGAGTAAAGGATGGTGGGGGATAAAAATGGTTAGGAATTAGCCCCTGCTTGCTTCTGGCATTTCACACCTATTTTTACACCACTGTAACTTTTCACATGTCTACTGTCTCCCCAACTAGAGAACAGAATGTCCCTGGCTTTCCTCGATCTTCTGAAATGGAAACCTGATCCCACCTACCCCATCAACCAGCATGCCATGCCCTGTAATTTATAAATGACTTGTTAATCTTCCCAAGACCCTAACCTCCATGAAGGCAGGGCCTGGGCCTGTCATCGTACCTGCAGCCCCACCATGTGGGATTTGCCTGGCCTCAGCATCAGTAACTCGCCTGCAGGTAAGATGACAGGCTGCTAAGCCTCTTACACTCTGACAATCCACGGCATATGGGACTGACCCCTATCTTGCTGAGCCAACCATCTACTTCAATTAACTCAAACAATTTGTTGTGTTGCTTTTAAAGCAAGTAGGCTGGGCATGGTGGCTCATGCCTGTAATCCCAGCACTTTAGGAGGCCAAGGCAGGTGGATCACTTGAGGTCAAAAGTTTGAGACCAGCCTGACCAATGGTGAAACCCTGTATCTACTAATGATACAAAAATTAGCCAGGCCTGTTGGCCCACACCTATAATCCCAGCTACTGGGGATGCTGAGGCAGAAGAATCTCCTGAACCCGGAGGCAGAGTTTGTAGTAAGCCAAGATCGCGCCACTGCACTCCAACCTGGACAAGAGCCAAACTCCGTCTCCAAAAAATAAAAAAATAAAGTTACAGCAAATCAGGGCCAGGGGCAATGGCTCATACCTGTTATCTCAGCACTTTGGGAGGCCAAGGCAGGCAGATCACCTGGGGTCAGGAGTTCGAGACCAGCCTGGCTAACATGATGAAGTCGTCTCTACTAAAAATACAAGTATTAGCCAGATGTGGCGGTACACACCTATAGTCCCAGCTACTCAGGAGACTGAGGCAGAAGGATCACTTGAGCCCAGGAGGCAGAGGGTGCAGTGAGACACGATCGCCCCACTGTACTCCAGCCTGGGCGACAAAGCAAGACTCTGTCTCAAGAAAAAAAAAAAACAAAAAACAAAAAACAGTTAAAGCAAGTTAGGCTTTTAGGCTTTTATAGACACTTAAGAATATTTCTTCCTGCTGATAATAACAAAACATATCATTTACCTTTATTGACATCCCATATGATGGCTGTGTTATCCACAGAGGCAGAAGCCATTAAATTCCCATCAGTTGCCCAGCAAATATCATACACATCTTCTAAGTGGCCCCTAGAATCCAAAAACAAAGAGAAAAAAAGCAATTACTGCCTGGGTGTGGTGGTTCACGCATGTAATCCCAGCACTATGGGAGGCCAAGGCAGGCAGACTGCCTGTGGTCAGGAATTCAAGACTAGCCTGGCTAACATGGCAAAACCCCATCTCTACTCAAAATACAAAAATTAGCCAGGCGTGCTGGTATATGCCTGTAGTCTCAGCTACTCAGGGGCTGAGGCAGCAGAATCCCCAGAACCCAGGAGGCAGAGGTTGCAGTGAGCCAAGATCACGCCACTGTACGCCTGCGTGACAGAGCAAAACTCCATCTCAAAAAATAAAAAAATTAAAAATAAAAAAAAGAAGCAATTATTAACTCAAAGAGGGACAAGTTTTCAAAAATATAAAGGCAAATTCCGGAACTACAGACTAAAATGAGATTCCAAAATTTCCACTGGCACCATATTAGCTATAGTTATTAAAAAACTACTTTCACTGGGCACAGTGGCTCATGCCTGTAATCCCAGCAATTTGGGAGGCCGAGGAGGGAAGATCACCTGAGGTTGGGAAACTAAGAAAATCCATTTTAATTATGCTTTCATCCTTTAAAACTGTTATCTTAGGACTCGTTCACATAAATAAAACTTCTAAATTAGACCAGCCTGGGCAACATAGTGAGACTCTGTCTCTACAAAAAATTTAAAAATTAGTAGGCTGTGGTGGCGTGTACCTGTAGTCCCAGCTATCTAGGAGGTGAGAGGATCACTTGAGCCCAGAAAGTCAAGGCTGCAGGGTACTGCAATCACACAACTGCACTCCAGCCTGGGCGACAATGAGACCCTATCTCAAAAGAAAAGAAAAAGGCCGGGCGCGGTGACTTATGCCTGTAATGCCAGCATTTTGGGAGGCCGAGGTAGGCGGATCACAAAGTCAAAAGTTCGAGACCAGTCTGGCCAACAGAGCGAAACCCCATCTCTACCAAAAATACAAAAAATTAGCTGGGTATAGTGGCATGTGCCTGTAATCCCAGCTACTTGGGAGGCTAAGGCAGGAGAACCATGTGAACCCAGGAGGTAGAGGTTGCAATGAGCCAAGATCGCGTCTTTGCGCTCCAGCTGGGTGACAGAGCAAGACTCCATCTCAAAAAAAAAAGATTAAAAAAAGTCAAAAGGTGTATTCCATGTAATGCACTCATCATGAACAGAGATCACTGCCACGGTCCTTCCCAGGTTACCGCAGGGTCTTCACAACTGTCCAGTTCTCCTTGTTGAGCTGGGCCTCATCCTCGTCCTGAAAAGCGATCTGCTCCGGCTCCTTGTTATCATTCACCTTCCACAACAGGATGACAGCATCTGCAGGTGATTCAATCACATGACCCATGCTTCACCCACACTTCTTCAGGATTTTTAGGGTATTCAACCACATTTATGTTGTTCAGTGGACACTTTGGCCATGATGATTTATTCCAAGCATTTTAACAGGGAAAGTAGGCTTGCCTTCTGAGTTAAAACCTCAAACTCACATTCATACTAGGTCAGTGCTATACAAAATCACCTTAAACAGACGGGTCCCTAGCCAGCAAAATGCCACTGTAAAGTGACTGGCTACATTAACAATTCTAAAGGCATAACCTATAAATAGCTGTATAGCAAACAAAACAGCAGCCAGGTGTGGTGGCTCACACCTGTAATACCAGCACTTTGGGAGGCCAAGGCAGATGGATCATGAGGTCAAGAGTTTGAGACCAGCGTGGCCAACATGGTGAAAACCTGTCTCTACTAAGAATACAAAAATTAGCCAGGTGTGGTGGCACATGCCTGTAATCCCAGCTACTCAGGAGGCTGAGGCAGGAGAATCACTTGAACCCAGGAGGCGGAGGTTGTGGTGAGCTGAGATCACACCACTGCACTCCAGCCTGGACAATAGAGCAAGACTTAGTCTCAAAAAAAAACAAAAAAACAGCAAAAAAAAAAACAACCCACTGCAAAGGTTGGCAAAAGTTCCCAGCTGAAAACCTTCAGCAAGTCCTTTAGGGTCTTGATGTCTCAGTTTCCTCACCTGTAAATGGGGATAACAAGCAGGGTGTGGTGGCTCATGCCTGTAATACCAGCACTTTGGGAGGCTGAGGCAGAAGGATCATTTGAGCCCAGGAGCTCAAGATAAGCCTGGGTAAGAGAGCAAGACTTTGTCTCTACTAAAAATCAAAAAAATTAGCCAGGTGTGGTGGCACACACCTGTGGTCTCAGCTACGTGGGAGGCTAAGGTGGGAGGATCACTTGAGCCCAAGAGGTGGAGGCTACGTTACATTCTGATCTCACCACTGCACTCTAGCCTGAGTGACAGAGCAAGACCCTGTCCCAAAAATGGAGATAACAGTATACCTACCTCACAGGCTGTTGTGAGAATTAAATTGGCCAATGGGCCTAACACACAACACAACGGCTGGCAGACAGTAAGCCCCAGTAAGTGTCAGCTATTAATATCGTTACAGACACATCAAGTCCTTTAGCCTGAGGTCACTCAATGTCTGAATCCGCTAACTCCTTACATTTTGACTCCACGATTACCACATAACCTTCTGATCATCCATTGGCTACCCTTTTAGGAACGTGCACAGCAGAAAGGACATACGCATTCCCATCTACGTTAACCGGAATCCTGGTTGCACACATTAGTCTGGGAGCTTGGTTAAGATGCCGTTGGCCGTAATGGATGAACACTCTCCGCATGCTGACAAAAGCAGGTTTCTGGGCCTCCAAGGCCAAGGAACTTTGGAAAATGAGGGCTGACGCGTGCAACTGCAGGGAAGACAGCATGTAGCCACCCCTGAGTGACGCTCCTGCTTCCCACCTTTCCCTCTATAAATGAGCACACATGCACACACACGCACACCTTCGCACGCTCCAGGTATCATGGCACTGAACTCATCCAGGTCTCTTTTCCTCCTTCTGCAAAAAAAACCTTTAGATTTCTGTTTTATTTTGTACTAGTTTCTACATTGTTTTAAAGAATGGTAAGAAGGTTTACTTCTTTTTTTGAGACAGAGTCTCACTCTGTTACCCAGGCTGGAGTGCAATGGTCCAGTCTTGGCTCACTGCAACCTCTGCCTCCCAGGTTCAAGTGATTCTCCGCCTCAGCCTCCTGCATAGCTAGGATTACAGGTGCCTGCCACCATGCCCAGCTAGTTTTTGTATTTTAGTAGAGATGAAGTCTCTCTGCATTGGCCAGGTTGGTCTCAAACTCCTGACCCCAAATGAGCCACCTGCCTCAGCCTCCCAAAGTGCTGGGATTACAACAGGTGTGAGCCACGCACCCAGCCTGGTTTACTTTTTCCGTATAATTTTATCCCATTTAAGCACAAGCAGAAAATACGAATCAATCTATTCCCACCAAACAAGCACAAATCACAAGGCCATTCATTAACGACACTCCCGGGGTGCTTCCTCCCCAGCACCCTCCAACGTCCTTGCACTGCCGACACCAAGACTCCAAGACAGCATCAGTCACAGCAGGGAACAAAATCACCACAGGGAAAGGGAGGAAACGCATGGATGTCAAACTAGAGGAGCTGCCAAGCTGGGTATCGATGCAGGATCTCACCTGGACGGGCGCTGCTGGAGCGATTCAGAGGCTACCACAGGTAATAAGTATGTCACTGTGAAGAAAGGGAGCATCGCAGGGGTTTCCAGGGTGCGGGCAGCTTACGTGCTTTTCAGCTACTGCCTTTCTTACAGGGAGATCAAACACAGGTGGCTACTCAGGGCCCACTGAAGAGGGGCCAGTGGGAGGGCACACTGTGCTTCTGAGCATAACACCCCCCCCCCCCCCCGTGAGGAACTGGGCCACTGCTGAATTCTTTCATATCTCACTTTAAAATTAATACCCAAATAGCCCGGGCACCGTGGCTCACGCCTGTAATCCTAACACTTTGGGAGGCCGAGGCAGGCAGATTGCCTGAGCTCAGGACTTCGAGACCAGCCTGGTTAACATAGCAAAACCCCATCTCTACTAAAAATACAAAACTTAGCCAGGCATGGTGGCAGGCACCTGTAATCCCAGCTACTCGGGAGGCTGAGTCAGGAGGGTTGCTTGAACCTAGGAGGCGGAGGTTGCAGTGAGTGAGCAGAGATTGCGCCACTGCACTCCAGCCTGGGTGACAGAGTGAGAGAGACTCTGTCTCACACAAAAAAAAGCTCAAATAAAAGATGACTGGTTAAAAAAAAAATGCTCCCAGCCTAGCACAGTGGCTCATGCCTGTAATCACAACACTTTGGGAGGCTAAGGCAGGCGGATCATCTGAGGTCAGGACCAGCTTGACCAACATGGAGAAACCCTGTCTCTACTAAAAACACAAAATTAGCTGGGCATGGTGGCGCATGCCTGTAATCCCAGCTACTCAGGAGGCTGAGGCAGGCGACTCACTTAAACCTGGGAGGTAGAGGCTGCAATGAGCCGAGATAGAGCCATTGCACTCCAGCCTGGGCAACAAGTGTGAAACTAAAAAAAAAATACTCCCAAAGCCAGTTAATTAATCACACAGAACTGACTCTGGTCACCAGATATTAAACTAACAATCAAACAAAACCAGAAGAGTCACCTTGCTTGGGATGTGACAGAGGGGTAAGTGCCTTTCCTTCTTGTCTCAGAACAGCCAGCTCGGTGGGAGCTAGTGGGAAAGCAGCTGTTTCAAACAGGTCTTCTGGATTTAATCTTGCTGTCCTCCCTCCCACAACTCTAACACACTCCCTAGAACATTATTTTACTTAACTACCCAAATGACAGATTGAGAGGACCAGCCACACCTGAAATAAATAAAAAGCATATTCAGCTCAAATCTCACTATATGACACAAGACACACAGATTATCTATCTGGTTCCTAAAGAATCTCTGAAGAACAGCAAGACTCACCATCTCCTCCCGATGCTAAAATCTCCCCAGTTGGAGAAAAACGTACAACATTGACGGCTTTGGTATGACGAGCAAGATTGGACAAAAATTCCACGATGGCTTTTCCATCTGGTCCTTTCTCTACCTTCCAGATCTGTTGATAACAAAACATTCATTTGAGAAACACAGAATGAGCACGTATTATACTGTTTGTATTAGAACAATACTATGGGCTGGGCAAGGTGGCTCATGCCTGTAATCCCAGCACTTTGGGAGGCCGAGGCAGGCGGATCATGAGGCCAAGAGATCGAGACCATCCTGGCCAACATGGTGAAGCCCCATCTCTACTAAAAATACGAAAATCAGCTGGGCGTGGTGGTGCGCGCTTATAGTCCCAGCTACTCCGGAGGCTGAGGCAGAAGAATTACTTGAACCCAGGAGGCGGAGGTTGCAGTGAGCAGAGATCGTGCCACAGCACTCCAGCCTGGCGACAGAGCAAGACTCCATTTAAACACACACACACACACACACACAATACCATTGGCCCGTTTAAAACACACACACACACACACACAAACAATACCATGGGCCAGATGCAGTGGCTCACACCTGTAATCCTAGCACTTCAGGAGGCTGAGGTGGGCAAATAATCACTTGAGGCCAGGAGTTTGAGACCAGCCTGGAAACATAGTGAAACCTGTCTCTACAGAAAATTTAAAAAATTAGCCAAGTGTGATGGCACACATGCCTGTAGTTCCAGTTACCAGGGAGGCTGAGGTGGGAGGATCACTTGAGCCTGGGAGGTCAGGTCAGTGCACTCCAGCCTGGGAGACAGAGTAAGACCATGCCTTAAAAAAAAAAAAAAAAAAATACTATGTTTATTTCCAGAAAGAAAATTTAGTTTTTCTTTTGAAACATAAAATGAAAGAACTCCCTATCTAAAACATAAATGTCTACTGTCCCCCTCCACCTTCTTTCTAGAGCAATTTGTTAACCAATAGGAACCCAGATCAGGATCCCAAAACAATGAACATCCAGTTACAATCATCTAGGGAAAATGACTCAAATAAGAAATCAGGGCTGAGGTGCGTGGATCACTTGAAGTCAGGAGTTCAAGACTATCCTGGCCAACATGGTGAAACCCCATCTCTCCTAAAAATTCAAAAATTAGCTGGGTGTGGTGACAGGCACCTGTAGTCCCAGTTACTTGGAGGCTGAGGCAGAAGAATCACTTGAACCTGGGAGGCAGAGGTTGCAATGAGCCGAGATCACCGCCACTGCACTCCAGCCTGGGCAAGACAGCGAGACTCTGCCTCAAAAAAGAAAGCAGCTCTTTTACTTTCATTGTTCACTCCAGGCCCTGGAAATTTAGCATTCTGAGCTAGATGACAAAGTAGTTTGAGTTTGTTGACATACCTTCATTCATTCATTCATTCATTTACTTAAGAGAAGGGTCGGGCTCTGTCACCCAGGCTGGAGTGCAGTGGAGTGATCATTGCTTCAACCTACTAGGGTTCAAATTCCTAGGGGTTTGCAGCTTCAAACTCCTAAGGCTCAAGTGATCCTCACACCTCAACCTCCCAAAGGTAGCTGGGCCCACACCTGACGCTGCCACGTCTTGCTACTTTTTAATTCCTGACTACATTGCCCAAGCTGGTCTTGAACTCCTGGGCTCAAGTGATCCTCTCACTTCAGCCTCCCAAAGCACTGGGATAACAGGCGTGAGCCACCGCGCCCAGCTGACATTAGTTTTAAATAAAAGAATGAAAACAATTGCTTCAAGCAGTGTTCCGATGTCTTCTCTGCCCCAGTTTACCCTGACAGCGGTGTCCACGCCCGCAGACGCCAGTCTGTGGATCCTCCCGGCCGCCCCATGCTGGAAGTCCAGGCTGTACACCGGCTCCTTGTTGTGCCAGGCTATTTCACAAGTGATGACTTTCATCCTCCTGAGTCTTGAAGGGGCAAAACGTTTCTCCAGCACGGTTCTGCTTCAAAACAGAGGAGAGCTGCAAAATGCTGGTGATGGATTGATTAAACAACAGTGTCACAGCAGCAGCAAAGGGTTACTGAGCGTTGAATAGGAGTCAGGGGCCATTTAGAACGCACCGCATTGCGTTGGGAAAGGATGTTTACGTTGCCATCTGACATTAACACCTTGCTAGCTCCACCTAAAATGCTTCGCTGGGCCCTGACGTCCACAAGTTAATGATACTACGTCCAGAAAGGCAAAACGAAACACCCAGGTAGTGGCTACCCAGGGGCCCGGGCCGGCTGCACGGCCAGTTCCCGCTTCGTGGGGGCTGACGGCGCGCCCTGGGAGCCGGGGGAGGGGCCCGCCCGGGGAGGAAAATCCCGGAAGAGGGGGCCAAACAGGGTAGGGGACCCGGGGGGTGGGGCAAGAGGAGAACCCCGCCTTTCCCAGGGACCGGGCGCTGGGCCCGGGAAGCTGGGATGTAGGCCGCCGGGAAGAGGCCGCAAGGGGCCGGGGGACGCACGGGGCCCCGCCGCCCAAACGCGCGCCACCCCGGAGCTATCTCTGGGCCCCAGCCTCTCGCCCTCAGCAAGGGCCTCTGGCTCGAGACCGACGCGACCAGAAATGCCGTGAAGCCCCCTGGGCCAACCCCGGGAAGCTGTACCTGCAGGGACCCGGACCGTCAGCCGCGCCGTCACCTCCCGCGCAGCGCGCCTTCTTCCCGCGCGCCGCAGACCGCGCCCCCAACCTGGGCGGGACCCCATGGACGCCCCGCCCCTCCAGCGCCCCTCAGGTCCCGCCCCCTCCTGGGCGCAGAGGGGAGTCCCGCTCTGGGCCTGGGGTCGGAATCCGGGCCGGAATTTACTCCTGCCAGACCCACGACAGCAGGAAGAATGGAGCCATTATTCATCATTACTCTCGGTTACTTATTCCTTGCTGATTCGTTCTTTTAGCAAACGTTTACAGAGTCTGGGTTGTGTGTTAGACCGACCCTATGCTAGCCCTGGGTCTTGATGGAGGGCAAACACAACCGGGTCTCGTGCTCCTTCTGCAAACAAAAATTGCAATTTCTGGGTTTTCTATATTGGCTTCTAGAACATTTTGGAGAGTTCGAAGTTATGAAATTGTCCAGTACCTAGCGCGAGGTTGCTTACACTTTATTATTACAGCAGGTGCCGTCACAAACCCTTTTTAAAAAAACAGACTAACATTTTAAAGTGAGGCTGCAAAACGAGCGGTAGGCAGAGATAGATACCGCAAGGCCTTTTGAAATGGGACGTTTCCATCTGAGACCTAATTCCCCAGAAGGCGGGGAAACAAGTACCTCTGGATACACTGCTTTTACTGGATAAAAGGATCACACAGGTTTATCTGAGGAACCAACTGTTCTAGGCATTTTTGAAAAACAACAGACATGTATTCTTGTATAAATACTGACTGAGGCTTTTAGCCAGCTTTATGAAAGGTACAGAAATTGTCTGCAAATCAATGTCTCATGTTGATGAGAATGGCTGTATGCTCCTTGAAGCCCGCCTTTCTTCTGCCCACCTAGGCCTCCCAAAGTACTGGGATTACAGACGTGAGCCACTGTACCCGGCCTGAAGCCCAGTTTCTACAGGAAGCTAGAATAACATAATCCAGATACGCAGTTTTTAGATTTTTCTCTCCAGGATTTAGAGAGCTTGGACTGGGAATGACTATATACTTTAGATAATCTGGCTGTTCTAAAAGTACAGATTTCCTGGCCCTAACCAGCCCCAGGATTGTGAACACCCAGCTGCTTCAGGGGTTTGCATTTTCATAAACTCCCTGATGGGGGTGATAATCAGTCTGTTCTGGAAAGCTTGGGATTCTGTCTCTCAAACATCAGAATTCTTCAAATTTCTCATAAATGCTGTTCATTCACAAATGAATACTCTGCCAACCTCTTGAAGTGTCATGACTCTGAACTATGGATTTAAAAGATCAAAACACATCCTTTAGGGCCAGGTGCAGCCAGGAGGGCGATCACGAGGTCAAGAGATGGAGACCATCCTGGCCAACATGGTGAAATCCCATCTCTACTAAAAATACAAAAATTAGCTGGCTGTGGTGTGCCTGTAGTCCCAGCCACTCAGGAGGCTGAGGCAGGAGAATCACTTGAGCCCAGGAGGCAGAGGTCGCAGTGAGCTGAGATCTTACCACTGCACTCCAGCCTAGGCAACAGAGTGAGACTGTCACAGAAAGAACAAAAAAGCTTTGATAGCACAAATTAAAAGTTCAATACAGCGTTGGAAAAGTGTTGAGCAAATATCAGAATAAGAAAAATAGGAGAGGCCAGGCGTGGTGGCTCACGTCTATAATCCCAGCAGTCTGGGAGGCTGAAGCAGGCAGATCACTAGAGGTCAGGAGATTGAGACCAGCCTGGACAACATGGTGAAACCTCGTCTATCTTTTGTATTTTGTACTATAAATACAAAAACTAGCTGGGCATAGTGGCGGACGCCTTAATCCCAGCTACTCAGGAGGCTGAGGCACGAGAATCGCTTGAACCCAGGAGACAGAGGTTGCAGTGAGCTGAAATTGCGCCACTGCACTCCAGTCTGGATGACAGAGTGAGACTCAGTCTCAAAAAAAAAAAAAAAAAGGGAAAATAGAAGAAAATTACAGAAATCAATAGAGGAGAATGGGAACCACTGGGGCTCTGGCACACTACTGGTGGAAGTATAAGCTGACGTAAATACTTTAAGAAACTGTTCAACAGTGTCTAATAAAGTTAACGATATTCCTATGCCATGACTTAGCAATTCCACTCCTTGGCATATGTAACAGGAAAACAAATGCAAATTCATACAAGAATCATGATTCACCATAGTCCCAAACTGGAAAGACACCAAATATCCAGCCACAGAAGAAAAGGTAATCAAACTGTGCTATATTCATACGGTGGGATTCTACTCCGTAATCCAAAGGAAATGGTGTGATGGTTAATTTTATGTGTCAGTCTGCCCGGGCCAAGACATGCCCCATAGTTGGTCAACACTGTTTCTGACTATGAGGGTGTTTCTGGAAGACATTAGCATTTGAATCAGTAGACTGAGTACAGAAGATCCGCCCTCACCAACCTGAGCAGTATCTGGGGCATCATCCAGTTATGTTGAGCCTGAAAAGAACAAAAAGTGGAGGAAGGGCGAATTCGGTCTCTTCTTCAGTTGGGACATCCATCTTCCACCCTCAGACGTCAGAGCTCCTGGTTCACAGGCCTTTGGAGTGGGACTAAGTTATACCACTGGCTTTCTTGGGTCTCCATCTTGCAGACAGCAGATTATGGACTTCTCAGCCCCCAAAACCGCTTAAGCCACTCCTCCTGATCAATCTCTTGCATCTACCCTATTGGCTGTTTTTCTGGAGAACTCCACACTGACTGACACAGGCAGCGACACGGATGAAGAAACATTGTGATGCACATAAGAACAAGTTATTTCAAGTGATTGGCAAACACAGAAATGTCATACTACCCCAAAGAAGGTTTACTTCTTCATACTATGGTTGGAAAATATTAGTATTTATTACATATATGCCTACATATGTATTATGTATACATTGGGAAGAGCGAATAATTATGTGGTTAGGAACCCAGATTTTCAGCAAAAGAGAGTGTATTTATCACTTGAGCCCAGGAGTTCAAAACCAGCCTGGGCAACGTAGGAAGACTTTGTATCTAGGGGGAAAATCAGCCAGGCATGCTGGCACGTGCCTATAGTCCCATGTACTTGGGAGGCTGATGAAGGAGGAGCACTTGAGCCCAGGAGTTTGAGTTTGAGACTATATTTATATAGTCTCTTTTAGTTCAGTCCACTAAAAAGGCCTAAAAATGCCCAAACTAGGCCAGACACAGTGGCTTATGCCTGTAATACCAACACTTTGGCAGGCTGAAGCAGGAGAATCACTTGAACTCAGGAGTTCAAGACCAGCCTGGGTTACATAGCAAGACCCTGTATCTAGGGAAAAAAAAAAATATCAGCCAGGCATGTGCATGTGCCTGTAATTCCCAGGTACTTGAGAGAATGAGGACGGAGGAGTGCTTGGACCCAGGAGTTTGAGGCTGTAGTGAGCTGTGATTGCACCATTGTACTCCAGCCTGGGCAACAGAGCAAGACCTTGTCTCAATCAATCAATCAATCAATCAATCAATAAAGCCCTAACTAGAAACAGTGACTATATCTGTGCTTAGATTATGGTCTTCAAATAGCATTTTCCACAAATCAAAGCAGAGCTCCTTGGAGAAATGGCTGTCACCAAGTCTAGACTGGAAAATTTATTAGATGTATTGAAATACCTTACCTCTGAAATACCCTGGAGTATATGTAGAAAAACAACTAAAAAATCAACAAAACCTTAAGTTAGGGTATCATTCCCGTAATCCCAGCACTTAAGGAGGCTAAGGTGGGGGTGCATTGCTTGAGCCCAGGAGTTTGAGACCAGCCTGGGCAACAAGAGAAAAATCTGTTTCTACAAAAAATATGAAAATTAGTTAGGCATAATGGTGTGTGCCTGTGATCCTGACTACTCAGGAGGTTGAGGTGGTAGGATCACCCAGACCCAGGAGGTTAAGGCTGCAGGAGTCATGATCACACCACTGCTACTCCAGCCTGGGTGACAGACCAACATCCTGTCTCAAAAAATATTTTTTTAGGCCGGGCGCGGTGGCTCAAGCCTGTAATCCCAGCACTTTGGGAGGCCGAGGCGGGTGGATCACGAGGTCGAGAGATCGAGACCATCCTGGTCAACATGGTGAAACCCCGTCTCTACTAAAAGTGCAAAAAATTAGCTGGGCATGGTGGCGCGTGCCTGTAATCCCAGCTACTCAGGAGGCTGAGGCAGGAGAACTGCCTGAACCCAGGAGGCGGAGGTTGCGGTGAGCCGAGATTGCGCCATTGCACTCCAGCCTGGGTAACAAGAGTGAAACGCCATCTCAAGAAAAAAAAAAAAAAAAAAAAAAAAAATTTTTTTTAAAGGCCGGGAGCAGTGGCTCATGCCTGTAATCCCAACACTTTGGGAGGCCAAGGTGACCAGATCCCTTGAACCCAGAAGTTCTTGAACCCATCCTAGGGGAAAAAAAACTAAAACAAAACACCAACCAAGGCAGGTTGGACAAGCTTGCTGGTATCTCAACTGCCTCCATGAATATCACATTTTGAGAGATTCCCTCCCAGGGAATCACAAAACAGGCACAACTGCCTAGAATAAAAAAGTTATATACTCAAAATTCTGCCTTGGTTCAGATCACAGTACGAACCAAGGGCTTCAGTTCCAACAGGAACCCCATGGGAGATTAGGAAGACTTGTCTCCTTTGTGAATATAAAACACCACATTTTGTTATGAAGATATAGCCAGCTGGGTGTGGTGGCTCACGCCTGTAATCCCAGCACTTTGGAAGGCAGAGGCAGGTAGACTGCTTGAGGCCAGCAGTTGGAGCAGCCTGGACAACAGAGCAAACCCAGTCTCTACAAAAAATTCAAAAATTAAATGGGTGCAGTGACACATGCCTGTAGTACCTGCTACCGTGGGGGTTAAGGTGGGAGAATCATTTGAGCCTGGGAGGTTGAGGCTGCAGTGAACCGTGATCATACCACTGCACTCCAGCCTGGACAAGAGCGATACCTTGCCTTAAAAAAAAAAAAAAAGAAAAAATACAGCCAAATTCTAGATATTCACGTATCAACCACGTAA